CCGTGTATGAATAATGATGGCAATATTTCATTTCACTTTCAATACACTCATGTAGCTATTTTGCATACACAGAGCGCCTTTGATATTTATTGAAAAATTTCTGTTTTTTTTTATCTATTGATAACCAATACATTTGAAAAGTTAAATTGTTTTCTTATAATACGAGTATAAATTAAAATTATTACTTTGAGCATTTCGTATAAATCAATTTTTCCACAGGAAGTTTTAATGCAACTATTCAATAATGTATATTTAACAAAGTTTTAAATTTGATTTACAAATTTAAAATTAAAATGTATGAGTTCTTTTGCTCTTGAAAATGCCGTTCAACATGACGTTTATTACGAATAAATTATACAAACAGATTATTTGCGTACATACAAAAATGTGTAATAGTGTACGCAATTTAATATTAAGTTATAGTAAAGAATTTTTATAAAACTAGTTTAAACATTAAGGGACGAGAAAATAATTAATTTAAACGCGGAACTAATTTGTTTCTTATACGCTATCGAATTTTAACTACTTTTTTTTATAAAACAGATGGTCCTAGTATTAAAAATTTAATTACGGGTTTAAACATAAAATAAAGTAATTTAAACGTTTTAAGCAAACACAAATTTACTCTGAATGCTCGGATTGATTGATTCATTTCAGTTTCAATAGTTAATCGAAAGTATTTTCAGTTTCTAAGTGGCTACTAAACACCTGGTAGCTGAAAGCTTTGAGTGCTTGTAGTTGGGGGCAGCATAAAAGTTTATTTTTATAACACAAGTATTACCCGAAACGCATGACTGGAGACGCATAATAGTGTACAAAAATAAATTATAGCCTTAGGTTTTACAAACCATCCATCACCCAAACATTAGAAACTTTATTTCTGTTCGCTAAATTTTTCCTTGAGTTATTTCAAAACATAGAAACTATCTCGAGCGATTTAATTAAATAGTTAATTTGGATACAACCCTAAAGCATTTAATTTTGTTTTTTTCATTATAACAAATATTGCGTGTGAAAGTTTAAGAGTTTTGTGTTTTTATAATAACAAAAGAAATTATAATTGCGAACTATTTAATAATATAATAAATAGTTAGTTCGTTTAACTTCACACATCATGAAAGATGTTTTAGCTTTCAATGAAACATAAATTGAATATTATTGGAATTATCAATACTTTTTTTGTGTTATAAATGAAAAATATTAGAAAAATCAAAATCCAAAATCAACAGGGGAAACAAAATTCCTGCTTAGTACTTACATGCTACATTACATCTGCAGGGTTACGACGATATTATACTATAAAACCGCTCGTTGTTTATATTAGGCGTATATTGATTAAAATCATAATATAAACATATATGTAAGTGACATAGTATTTATTTTTAACTTACAACGTAGATTTATTTTGCAACATTATAATTTGAACTAAACTAATCGTTTACAACAGGAAAAGAGCAAGAAAATAAATTTAATTTTAATGAATATAAAGCCATAATATTTTTAATAAAATAAAATTATTAATATATTATGTGAACACATAGATAATAATATACATTGTATATTATATTGATTTTGTGATTAATGTTCCATTTGCTTATGTCAGTTATAAACGATCGAATAAATTAGTCACGTTTTTCTAACGATGCAATTAAAATGTATTTATAACACAACAATTGTAATGGATATTGAAGAAATGTTTAGTCATCAGTATATTAATGTTTTAAATACCAAGACTAATTAAAAACATCTAGATGTTATAGCCAGGTTTCTTAAAAATAAATTCCTTACAATAAAGTCAATTAAGAAACATGGGTGTATTCTGACGTTTTATAAATAGTTTATTCAATATTCAAAATATATGAGTATACATAATTTGTATTGATATTCCATAAAATAAATATTTGCTCAGCTTAAGTCGTAAATCAATTATGTTTTTGTAGACAGTTCAGAGCCATAAATAGTATATTGAAATATTGTACATATGACTACTTACAATGAGAACGGTTGTAGTTTAAAACTAAACAGACCCATTAGTGTGATAATATTCATAATTTATGTAGTGGTATAGTGGTATAGGTAAAACAATCGGTTTCAATAGAAACACTCTAATAAAATTATTTTGCAACTAAACTTTAAAAAAATCGTCTTAATCATGATAAATTATCGTTGGTAATTCGATTATAAGTGAACTAATTTGTTCGCTCTAACCGCTGTCGACGATAGATTCTTATCTCATTATTGTAGTTAACGTAAATGACTCGAACTGTTCTGCGTTATTATTATTAAGTACCTGTATTTAAGACAGTTACAATATCCAAACTAAACAAGTACTTAACGCATACTTTCAATTTGCTATTAGGGTTATGGCTTTTAATAATATTATTATTTCTTCTCGATGGGTATAGCCACTAAAACTATGTCTATAGATAAATAAACCATTGAAAAACCGTTACGCCATAAATTCTCTTCTCCGGGACCATCGTTGACTGCAAACCAAACTAAGGATTGATAACTATGGAGAGAGAGAGAGAAAAAAAGAAAAACCCAAAACTACAAAGCCAAAATGTATCTTTTGATGTCAACAGACACATTGTTATTTTGCGCAGAACAAAACGTTAAACTATGTAGTTATTTAGGCTAATGAAATGCGGTCGGGTGGCTCAGAGGATGTCGCGTCTTAAGTTCTGACTCGCTAAATACTGCTAATTCCCCGGCGGGAACTAAAACTATTCGTCAACAAAATAGGCTATTAAAATATATATATCACATATTATCTGCTTTATATAAAATACTTTTCCCCGTTTGATTCCAGCATTGTACACTCGAGATAACACTAGTTAGACAACACTAGTTTGTCATATCTAGATACGTTAAAAAAATATATACAATAATATGTTTGATAAATACGAATATACTTATTGTTATATTATAAGTCAAAATCGTCAAACTTCTAATAAATAATTTATAATTGTCCTTAATTGTATCGTTTAAACGAATTAATATATATATATATATTATAATTTCTATTTGAGATTTAAATCCAACCCGGTTATTAAAATAAAAAATCAATATAATTTTATGCTTAATTTAACATATTTTCGCAATATCGTTTATTATAACGTTTTTATTTTTTTAAGTGCAGCTAATAATAACTTTTTTTAAAGAAAATTCTATTATCAATTGTTAATTTTTTTTCTCTCGAGAAGAAAACTAGAAATATTATACAAATTATAACTGTAGTTGCTGGTTATTGATTAACACCACTTACATCTGGGGGCATAGGTTTTGTGTTATTTTTTCATCACGTGTTCTTTAATGGTGCACATAAACTATACAACTAAAATTTTCACGAGAACATTTTAGAAGAATTTATTAAGGTACGTGAAACGTTCTGTTGGCAATACATATTAAATAGCGTAATTAGCGTAGGTACAGACTATCTCACAATCAATAACCAACTATGCAAAGATATATCAGATAATAACAAATTCGTCAATTATTTCCCGGAAGAGCTGTAACACCGTGCAATAATTTTAATAATGTCGCAACCTCTGGGCTCTAAGATTTATTCCTATCGTCTGATAAATTACAATGTTATACATCATCTCCGCCGCGCCGCGTGTAAATTCCTAAGAAGTAAACCCTGGGCGTTGCCTTTCTTGCTTGGGTTAACACATTATGACTAACTAGTTAAGCTTTATCTTCAGACACGACACACTAGGCAACACCTACGATAAAATAAAAACAAAAATAAGAGTAATCGTTTATGGAGTCCGTAAAATAGTATTTTATACGTGACCACATTAACTATAGACACAAGGCGTGCTAGGGTAGATGAAAACATTATCCGAAAGCATATTACAATTCTTTATAACCTCATATCTGACAGAGGCATCGGGGTTTATTATTTTGAATCTATGGTATATGAATAATAGTTCCATAAGCTAATTGGGGTTTTCTAAATATTCTACATTGCCAATGAAATCAATAATCGCTTGCCTTTCATTGATTTTATTTAACGCGAAATCCTTAACGAATATTTTTACAATTATAATTCCCGCCTAAGAATATCCTATAGTTTCATAAACTCATTGTTTTGTAACAGAATTTGATTAGTTTACAGACATTTTCGGATGTATCCATGTTATCAATAGTTAGCTGATATTTCGAGCCCATAGCAGTCCATCTTCAGAAAAATAGTTACCGTTCCGCTATAGCACTGTAATGAACGCATCGCTCGTTTCCTATCGGTATACTTGATATGTTCGTAGTCGCAACCGTTTTTTCTCGACTAAGTGGTGTCGTAATGTGTCATGTGGTTTTCTTTGTTTTCTCCTTTTCTCAGCATGGAAAAAGAAACAAACAAATCAAACCAACCGATCAATGCTAAACAATAGAAACAGCTGTTGTCAAAATAAATGAAAATCGCACATGTTTAAAAGGATGAGCAAAGTGCAAAGAACGCCAAAAGAGCACAACGAGCCATAAACAGACAAAATAATAAAACAAAGAAAACCACATGACACGTTACGACAACGCTTGGTCGAGAAAACACGGTTGCAACTGAGGACTTAATCGCGACAGTGGAACGGTGACTATTTTTCCAAAGATAATAGTTTATTCATCAAAGTTTTAATACATTACACATTTTTAATTGTATTTGAGTTAAAAACAAAAGTACCCACTTTAGTATGTTAATTACTATTTTTTGATTACTTTTACTTTTAATATTGCACTTAAGTACCCAATATAGATACAATTAAAAAGCTATTGTAAACTTATTTTTATTTCAGGTAACTGGTAAGTTGATAATTTTCATTTAATACGCTATACTTTAAGTAAATCTATGGGCAACGGTTTTAGTTAATGCATTTCCCAGCACTATAGGTTTGAGCAAGTCAAGTGTTATGTTATCAATGTGATTAAAAGTGAAAAACATATTTATTCTCCCATTTGTGTTAGATATTTTATTATTAAGCTTATATTATAACAATGCTTACCATAAAAAAAATGGCAACCAGCACAATAGGAATACACCCATTATGATTCCAAGCGTGCGAGCTGCTTTGTGTTCAGTTCTCCAACTTGTAGTCGTAGTCTTGGTCGTTAGAGCTGTAAAATAAATACAAACAATTTAGTAAGTTAAATACAAACTCGTTTATACTTTATACTGACAAAGAGTTGTATAGGGCATCTATGTATAATAATTATTATAATTTATAGTTAGAACACATATTAAAAAAAAAAAAAAATGTTTGTTTTATTTTTTATTAATAATTAGTACATAGTAATTTAGAACTGAAACAATACAACCAAAACATTATATTTTAATTATTTAATAAAACTGGTATTATCCGAGGTGTATAGTTAATACTATTTACTAATTAGTTTCATTAATATTTTATAGTTATCTATTAAATCATCATACTTATTGCCTTGTTAGAATTTACAATAACGGTAGGTTTTTCTTCACATGACCTAAATTTGAAGGAATTAAAATTGGTAATATTCACGGGTTTGTTAGAATGATGATTATTAAGTTAAGGTCATGCTGTGAACATTAGAGGAGCATGCAGACTATATTTTGATAAATATTAACTGAGCGGCAGGAACATCATAAATCAACTAGCGCCAAGTAAACATATAAGAGAAAATGGTTTATCGTTTTAATATGAAAACTGTATTTAACCTGGGCTTAGGACAGACAAAACTGCCGTCTATTTGGGTATAATTTTTATGAAATTGTTAATAGTTTTTTATTTTGTTTATGAATCATACAAAAATGCAGGAGTCACAAATTGATATACAAATATAAATATGTAAATAATAAACGTTAGTAGGGTAATTTTTGCTTTTCACTAGATATCTTATTTAATAGATAGTGTGGTATTATTTGTATTATTAGTAAAACGTTTGTTTCAAGTATAATATTATTCATTGTACTATGACATAAAATGGACATGATTCAATATGACCATTATTCATTGTGAATAAAAATGTATACCTCACTATCAATCTTTCTTGGACTATTATAATATAACTAATTTTTATTCTATTATCTCTTATTGTATTATACGACTATTAAATTGTACACTAGTTTGTTTTTTATAAACCGTAGGTGTATAAATCGTATAGTGTACAGCAAATCGATTGCTTAAAGTGTTTACTGGAGTGTACTTTACTATCATATATTTCCGACTTGATCGAAAACATAGAGGGATTACGAGTTCAGTTATTTCTTAATACAGCTTAGGTGGATATTCATTTATACTGAATTAATATTATTATTACAATATTATATTAAATTGAATTGAAATCTATACATTTTTTTTTCAACAAGTTCCGGTATAATTTTTTACATGTTTTTTGATGTTAGGTTTAAAGAGAATTCGTTTTTTTAAATATGTAGTTTTGCCAAGAGTTTACTCGATAATTTGACATTATTTTAGACTTTATTTCAACATGCTATTTGGCGAGGGAGTCAAATATGGTTCCTTTAGTTCACTAAACGATGGACCGTTTGGGTTATTATGACTGGCTATTTGGTATAGTATACCTGATACCATTTCATTAAACGAGTATAGTATTAATATCGAGTGTCTTGAGCGTAAAAAGTCATTTAAACCATAAAATAATATAATTTACATTTTAATATATATTTCTTAAATTAAGAATAAATTAAATAAGAAAAATGTATATAAAAGGAAAATAACGTAAATAATAACAAGACGAATAACCAAAGTCTAGGGAATAACCAAAGTGACAATGCTTAGAAAAAATGATTGCTCTATTGTCAGATAGTGGTGGACAATCGAATAGAATATGACATAATATATGGCACTCGGTTTCGTTTTCATGTAGGGTACTCTAAATGACAATGAAAATAGAGTTGAATTCACAGATAGACGTATGAAAATGAATTGGTTGAATGAGAAGGTTGTGACCAAAGAGAAAATAGAATAAGAAACCGTATGGGGTTTTTGGACATGTAATGGTTATAGTACCAAATATTATCAGATTATAAGGGAAATACGGAACTACGAAAGACATTTATAGGTAGATTGTAGATAGTCATAATTTAGAAATAATAACACAGAGAAATAAAATTTGTACAAAAATAAATGTCACATGAATTTTAAAAAAAGCCCATAACATAAATAAGTATAAAGCTAATCATAAACTGATTTTGATTTTAATATTCATACAAATCCGGTTAGACAATTTTACGCTGGTTGACTGTTTTGACGATAAATTGTAAGATAATGTCTTCCCTATTACTTATTTAAATAACTATTATTCTATAGCTCTTGAAGTATGTAAAATATTCATCTTTACATTTGATGATCATATGAAACCCAATTGACATGGTCATGGATCAATTTCTAAATAGTCATTCTGTATTGATTTTTTACGTGTTATCACTTAACCATGAACAAATTATAATGTACATTGCATTGAGTTGCGAAAATATTTATTTTAGTACAACCTACTTGTTAGTGATTTAAATAATAATAAAAAGTATCCAAAATAAAATAAATTGTAGAAAAATGAGGAATCAAGAGAAAATGTATATATTTTAATTGTAACATATTATGTATGCTGTTTTTTTTTTTAAATTTCTTAAACACATACACGTGTGATAATATAGACATTACAATGACAACAGTATAATAATACAAATATGATTATTTATGCAGTACAATCAATAAATCCTTTACGAATCATGTAGAGAAAAAAATATATTTTCGCAAATATTGCTTGGCTCGACAGATTATTCACGGACGATAATAATCGAACAAATCATTTGTGTGGTTTCTAGCGACACGATCATTTTTCGACTCCACTAAACATTTGCGATGTGAATCGAGCCAAAATATTGTCTTTTGTCTGCCAACCATAATTTGGAAACTGGAAAGATAATCCGTTATATAAACCTGTTATTCGCGCTTGAAATCATCAAATGATAAAAGCCAACTGTTATTTTCGCCAGGTTTATTTTGTAGTATACTTATCAGCCGGAACGGTAGAGATACCATGCACATAATATAATAGTTATTGTCAATCGGTTAACGCCAAAATGTGTTTCAAATAATAATAATAATTATTATGTTCCTCAAACGACTCACGGACTACTATGATGGACTATATTATTATTTATTATGAATCGACGGTAAATTTATATTCAGTATTTCGTTTAAACGCGCTGTCAAGCGTTGAGTGCATCGTGACTGTTGTGTGGACTGAGCGCCTCCGATTATCTGTTTTGGCGATTAATTAAGTTAAATATATAATACAAACGATTCGCCGGATTCGCTTTAATAGTACCATAGATTATAGTTAACACTACTATTATATTGCAGCATGGTTGTCTCATAACAGATTATCGTTTCATCCAATCTGCGTCCTGTTTGCATGTCCTTGCTGTGCACCGGTGGGACGAGGTATTACTACTACTGGAAAACAATAATAATAATTGCACGACGTACTTCAGTGTTGTCATTTGTGTCGAACACCCAAAAAGCTTTTTCTGATTTTTCTTGTTTAGATATTTTTTGAATGCATTTTTAGGGTCTTCGCTGCAGTGCCACTCGAAAAAGATAAGTGTTATGACCTTGACGAAGAATCATCCAACAGCTACAAACTAAAAATATTAAATGGACACGAAAACACATTTTGTATTTTATGAATTTAGGTAACTAGAAATTTTGTTAAAAATATTAATACATTTTGTTAAAATAAGTTTTTTATATTCTACTCGTCACTTTTTATTTATTAGGAAACTAGAGTGAATACTATAATTAGTCTAGTTTATACTTTATAATAATGAGTAATGACTAAAAATAGACTTCTAAGGACTGTCTAAATTATACCCAAGTTCTTGGAGAATATTTTATGTGCGTACACAATTGATGCGTTTTTCTTGACATACGTAATTATTTAATTTCAAAATGTCGTCCGCACGACTGGTCTTTAAAAAATCAATTTATCTACACTACCTGATCGTTAAACATTTTTTTTTTACATTGACATAAAAATTGTGTTAATACTGTCTGCGTTCGATTCTATTTTAACTAATGTTATTAAATATTCATACATTATTGTGAACACGAACAAATGTAATACTTTAAGCTTCAGTAAACATGCAATTTTATGCCATTATTCAATTACGCCCTTTTGCATAATGATATTCTCGGTACCAAGTAGAGCTTCACGGTAAATCAACACTTTATATTGTTAATATTTTGTCCAAAGCTGTATAATCTAATTTTACATGTTGATAACCTAGTTATGAAAATACGGTACAAAAAATATAATTTTTGTAATAAATTACAATATTTTTAATAAAAAATGAAAAATATGATTGTGAAAACTTAAAGTATAAAATAATGGAAATATAGAAGTTTTTAAACGAATCAAAAAAAATAGTTATAGTCACTGCGGTTATGACTTAATGAGAGTAATATAATAGTTTTCAAAAATAACACATCGATATTGATCTGTAGATTATCAGAAAACGTAAAATGTATGTAAAATTCGTTTTAAATGCAACACTGACAATATTATACAGATATTTTTCCAATTTCGACTTTGTTTACCTTAAAAAGAAAACATTTGCTTTTAAATTTAACCTTCCCACAAGATTAAAATTAAACTATCTAGGTAGGTTCGATATATTTTTAACATTTGTTATTATAAACTATCTTTGTTGATCAATTTCTTTTAGTTTTGAGTTTATAATATTAAAAAAAAAAATAGGCTCAGTGGTTGAACATTAATTCTTAGGTTTACGTCAAAGCTAAACACGTTAATATAACTCTTGAATATCTAAATACTTATTTTGCAAAACAAATGGTAATTACAGTTTTTTTTTTAGAAATACAATCGTTTTCTTAGTAATCCGATTTTACCGATAGCAACTAATGTCCATATGCAAACATAAACCATTCTATTGGGGTCGCATATCTGATGTACATTCAAACGAGGGGTAAGTATTAATAATGGAAAAGGGAAAAGCTTGGGTCGGGTTCGAGCCAGACGTGGACTGCCGACCGGAACTAGCTAACCGGACGACCACTACTGCAATGCCTATCGCAATGCGACCGTATACAAAT